ACACACACACACTCACATACACACACACACACACACACACACACACACACACACATACATTGTCCTATCTATTGATGGGAAGCTCTACCTGCTGGAAACTAGGTCTAGCGTCCCATGAACATCGTGAATAAAGCACCAACCGGACCCCCCACACACACTCTTTGAGTTGTGTATAACGAACATGACAAAACATACATACAACATAATCACTACCTTACCCTTCCCGTACCACATCAACAAACAAACTACGGGTTGTGCACTCGTGCCCTCAATACAATCACGCTGTGGGTTAGGCCAAATTTTACTTGCCCTTTCTGGATATGGCCCTTGGCCCGAGAACCTTAGCATCCTAATGCGCCTTCTCGGTAAAAGTGACTCAGTCCATAACGATCCTTTTCCTAGCATTACGGCCTCATAGCCGTGCGACCTGTAAAGGGTATTTGCTCCGACAACGTTCAGAGCAGTCCTCTCCAAGTGGTCTCCTCCCAACACTAACCGCCACCCAATCCACTTCTACTCTAGAGCAGTGTTCCCCTCCAACCCCTGGTCTGTTGCTGCCCCCCTAAGCCATCTAGTTCTCATCTAGGTGACAGCCCATCAGACACCATTCCCCAAATCCTTTCCCCAAGGTTCTATCAGCTGCACAGACAGCTTTCCCCAAACCCTTTCCCCAAGTCCCCAGACCCTTTCCCCCAGTCCCCTAACCCTTTCCCCAAGGTTCTATCTGCTGCGCCAGTTGGTGGACAAGTACGTAGGGCATCCTGTAAGTGGGCTACCACCACCTGCCCCGCAAGCCGTCCAGTTGTAACCGGGATCTGCGCCTCCATGCAAGGCGACCACAAACTCAGGGCTACGTGCCCATCTGTCCGCGTCAAGTGTTGAGGGCCCGCATGGTGCGACGGGCCTCGTTTTCCACTGACGTTATTTCCGCAGCACCCCTGGGGCATGGTCCCACTAGCAACCGGATAGGATAGAAAAGAGTTTGCATGGCAGTTGAGTGACCCAAATCCTGCCGTGCAGTACTGGTGATCCCACTGTCAGTATTTTACATGTACTACCCGAAAAAGTAAGGAGATCATGGTCCCTCCTCCTCTCCTTAACATTGGGCATGCCGGTGCAAAGGAAGCTTCCCGCCAAAATATTTTCAATCCGTTGGGGGCATGGCCGACCCCAAAAGAGAGCGGGGTCGGCCATAGGCCCACTGGATAGAAGATTTCCAGTATTTTGCTTGCTGTTGTGCAATTATCTCATTGGGTGGAGTCCTCCTTCAATCACGGAGTATAGTATATGGAGGGCATCAGGATCACTGCTGACAAAAGTTAAGTTTATTCCAGAAAATGTGGCAGTTACTTTCTGCACTGTTGTTGCAACCACTGCCATCAGATCATTTGTGATTTGATGGTTGGGAAGCAAATAGGTTAGGCAGTTCTTCGACACTGTGACACGTTACTCAGCATCGCAAGACTGCTTCACTCTCATTGACCACGGTCGTACTTCTTATTAGGGTTGACCAGCGTGGACCTGTACGGAAACGAAAGAAGTCAAAGGGGATTGAGTCGCCCTAAGACTAAGGTGATGGCGAACCAAACGATGAACGGGAGGCGTATTCCTCCGAATCCATCGGCGACGGAGAGATCCAATGATAGAATATGGGAATCAGTGGGCAGGTGCTATATGCAAGGGGAGTGTCCTGGCGACGCATCGTTGGGGGAGGTAGTAGAGGACGCAAAAGGTAAACAGTTTGTGGTCAATGGCCAGGTTAACGCGGTGAAAGATGCGTGGCTAAAGGACCATACAGTCATAGTTACCTTTCAAGGAGAAGCGAGGCAACTGTCGAGACAAATCAAGAGGACCTAATTAGGGCATATGAAGATGGCTGGTTCGTGAGTAAACTATTTGGGCCAGATGCCGAGCGAGGGAGAGTGAAGTTTGAAGGTGCTAACGATGTGTTGTACATGGCCAGATCGGAGCAAATAGCTACTTGGCTTCTCCAACAGAAGGAGTTATCTATCAAATTACAAGACTCGGAGGAATACAAGGTGACCTTCAAACCATGGCTTCCGTTAAAAAAAATAAAATAAAAAATAATAATAATAAAAAAATCGTAATGAACCTGTCAGGCCGCTGCCACTCAGTGTCGCACTGCATCGGCCACACTCCTATCCGACTGCTAATGGGACCACACCCCTGGGGCATGGTCCCACTAGCAACGGGATAGGATAAAAAAGAGTTTGTGTGGCAGTCGAGTACTGCTGATCCCACGGTCAGTGGTTTACATGTATTATCCCAAAAAGTAAGGAGATCTTGGTTCCCCTCCTCCTCTCCTTAACACTGGGCATTCGGGTGCAAAAGAAGCTTCCGGCCAAAATCTTTTCAATCCGTTGGGGGCGTGGCCAACCCCAAAAGAGAGCGGGGTCGACCATAGGCCCACTGGATAGAATATTTTCAGTATTTTGCTTGCTGTTGTGCAATTATCTCATTGGGTGGAGCCCTCCTTCAATCACAGAGTATATGGAGGGCGTCAGGATCACTGCTGACAGAAGTTGAGTTTATTCCAGAAAATGTGGCAGTTACTTTCTGCACTGTTGTTGCAACCACCACCATCAGATCATTTGTAATCTGATGGCTAGGAAGCACTCTGCCGTGATTTCAAGTGGGAGGTCTCTGTTTTTTTGTTTTTTTTTGCCTTTCTCCTGTTTTCTCACCCCAGAAATTCGTAATGAACTTGTCAGGCCGCTGCCACTCAGTGTCACACTGAATCGGCCACACTCCTATCCGACTGCTAATGGGACCACACCCTTGCACATACCAGTAGTGATGAGGAAAAATCTAAATTCACACCAGTCTCGAAAAAAAAATTAAAAAAAATGCGCACCAGCCTCGAGAACATCTGTCTAGGGTCACATCGAAATTCTTCACCCGAGCGCTGGTTTGGGTCAGTAGCGTAGCGCTCCAGTTTCAGCGTCGCTACGCGGGTTCTCTCGCGTAGCGCTGTTCGTCTGAGAACCCCGCCGACATGACGGGGCGCAGAACGAAGGTAGCGCGCACTCCCCTTCGTGAGTGGAGACTTTGTCTCACGCCGTTACCATTGTTGAACAGTCCAGTAGTCTAGGGGTAGTAGGAACCTCCATAGCCCCACTCATGCTCAGGTTCAGGAATCGAGCTCGCTCGAAGGCGCCCTCGGGCACAAGGTCGCTCGTGTTGGACGTAATCGCTAATGCAGCAATAGAAACATTGGGTAGAACTGAGAGTGTAGATCAGTTACCACGAGGAAAGTTCTCGATACCGCAGGAGCATTGATCCTTGATTTGGATGATTGGCTACGCTCCTGGTGTATTGGGATTTTGGGAAAACAGGGGTAGGGAAGTAAAAGTCGTGAACGAACCGAGGAGGGGCGGTTGCCGAGTAAGTTCTAGTAAGGTATCGCCAAGTAACCATCCCTCAGTAACCTAAAAGTTACCGAGGTAATTCCTTCCTCATCGCTTCCGAAAATGGGGCGAGAGGGATGAGGTAGTAGACCCAGGAGAGGAAGTGGGTGGCATCTTGGTGCGTTCGAAGAAGCCGAAGAAGGTGAAGTAGGGTATAGCGAGAGCGCCCCCTCCAGTAATTCCAAAACTACCACGATAAGTTACAATTCCGGACCTCAGGAACAGGAAGGCGCAACCGGAGGACGGCAAGGATGGGGACGATGGCCTGGGCAAGTTGGTACAGGGGTAACGCGGCCGCAATGTCGGCCTCTAGGGATTAATTGCCCTATCAGTAATTGACACGGGCTCCCGAGACAAACCTTCTGTGCCCAGAATCTTAGCTGGTAGAATTATGACGAAGGGTACCTGGAGTAAGCCATGCCGTGTTTTTGGTCGTCTACCTTGCTAATCGCAGTTTAATACAAAAGAGGAGGGGCGATACGGATGGTGTTGTCGTGTACAATAAACCATGGCCAGGTGTTGAGGGACAAAGAGCGGGATCTCAGACAAGAAATGTTGAAAGGAGATTGTTGTCTTTGGCGACTCCAACAGAGAGAGAGAGAGAGAGAGAGAGAGAGAGAGAGAGAGAGAGAGA